GCCTCAACCTCCCATGTAACCAGGACTACAGACATTCGTCACCATGCCCAGCCAACTTTTTAACTTTTTTTAGAGACGAGGTCTCACTATGCTGTCCAGGCTGGTCTCAAACTCCTGACCTCCAGCAATCCTCCCAGCTTGGCCTCCCAAAGTACTGAGGTTACAGGTATGAGCCACCATGTCTAGCCTTGTTTCTCTTAAATACAAGAGAAAATTGAGGCCAAAAACAGGCCAAAAGATTGTGGTACAATGTGGTAGCAGTTAGTATCAAGATCTTAGTGTCTTTTTTTTTTTCTGAGACAGAGTCTCACTTTGTTGCCCAGGCTAGCGTGAGTGCCGTGGCATCAGCCTAGCTCATAGCAACCTCAATCTCCGGGGCTCAAGCAATCCTGCTGCCTCAGCCTCCCAAGTAGCTAGGACTACAGGCATGCACCAACATGCCTAGCTAATTTTTTCTATATATATTAGTTGACCAATTAATTTCTTTCTATTTATAGTAGAGACGGGGTCTTGCTCTTGCTCAGGCTGGTTTCAAACTCCTGACCTCGAGCAATCTGCCTGCCTGGGCCTCCCAGAGTTCTAGGATTACAGGCGTGAGCCACCACGCCTGGCCCTTAGTGTCTTAATATACAAGTGTCCCATCTTGCTGGTGTTTTGATTCACTTTAAGCAAGGCAATTTAGAACACTGGTTTGTTTTCAAATATTCAAGTGAGCTAGGCATCTTCTCTTCTGTATTCCTCACATTTCAAGATATCACCATATTTCTTAGCAATATTTCCTTATAGCATTAAACTGAGTTTAAAAGAACTATACTTAATAACTCTGGAACATATCATGTCTTTTGGTGGTAGAAAAAAATATATAACTTCAGGAAGATTAAGATTCCATAACAACCATAGAGAACATAAATATTTACTCTGATAAACTCTAGATAAATTGCTCTAAGAAATTGTGGGAATTGTTTATGTACATCATCATTCTTTTTGTCTTTTTCACTTTAATTAAGCATCATCTTTGCTAATGAACCTCAGTTTGGCCTTGAATTGTGGTGACTGATACATCACAGTGAATTTTTCCTGGAGTCTCACTCATGTCTGTCTTGATTAAAATTCTTAATAGAAAAGAGTTTTTCTCCTTCCTATGTGATGTAAATAAGTAGAAGGGATTAGTAACTAGGTATGTGCTATCTGTTTGTGAACCAGTGCTATCTGTTTGTGAACCAGCCAGTAAGGTACAGTTTAACATCTTCACTGTAGAATTAGCCAGTAAAATAAAACCTAACACTTTCTAAAAACTGAGCAGAACCTCTTTGGGATCCAACCACCATTTCAGATAAAACCTGTTTTAATTTACACATATATGTTATATTACATTTGCTTAGTGTTTTATGACTTCTAAAGCATTTTCATTCTTAATCTTTATAACACCCTTTTCAGGTACATAGGGAAATATATTCCTAAGCCAGCATGCTTTCTTCTGTATCATTCAAATTTATCTCTGAATAGCCCCAACCAGACTGCCAGCTTTTGTAAGGCTGGAAGCACATTTTATACTTCTTTGCATCATCACATCAGTGCCCTTAATTGGAAAAGGTAAGTGTGTTTTTGTTGATTTATCCATTGTAAAAATTGAAGACAGGGCAACTCAAAATACCTAGACAGCATGCCAGTTTTGGCAAACTCTTTCAGGATTAAGCAAATTCTAAATTTTAAGGACTCCAACCAATCAATTTCCAATGTATGTTTAAAGGTGTGAAATCCAGAGAGTTGTTATGGAATATAAGTCTCTCTGCAGCTGGTTAAAATTCAGCTTTATTTCAATTCCTGCAATTCAGTCTTTTCCTTGTAGTGTTAAAGATAAAATTAGAGAAAAATCACCCTGTTGTTTACAAATATAAAGAAAAGCAAGAATTGACTACCATCTAGGCTCTCCAGGAATTGCTTCATTATGTCTTTTTAAAATGTTATTAGAATGTATAAATGTATGAAGAGACAATTTGGAAATAAGCAAAGATCCAATGCTGATAGTTTTTTCATTATCATCTAGTGTTTTTGAATAGATAAAATTTTTAGCCACTTAAAATATTTTGCCACATTTGAGAGGCAGCACAATATCAAAGGAGTGAAATGTTAGGGTAAAATGACATGGATCTGAGTCCTATTTGGGATATTAAGCATTTGTCTCACTCTCTATGATAATTATACCTTTTCACATGATTTTTATAAAAATCAAATGAGATCATCTGTATGATTTTACTTTATCAACTGAAAAGCATTTTAAAATGTTAGCTATTATTACCTGGAAATTTCATATAATGGTAAAAAAAAATGCTTTTCATAGATTGTTCCAGTTACTATTGCTGCATAACAAATGACTTCAAAACTTAGTGGTGTAAAATAACCACCATTTTATTTGCCTCCACTTTTGTGGTTCAGGGATTTGGAAATGGCTAGAATAGGCAGCTCTTATTTGGAATCTCTTATGTGGCTGCAATCAGATATTGGCTGTTGCTATAGTCATCTGAAAGCTTGACTGGGAGGGATGTACAAGATAGCTTATTCACATGGCTGGGAGCTACAGTGGTGGTAAGCTAGGACTGTAGCTAGGGCTGTGGGTAAGAGCCTCTTAGCTCACCTTCTCCAGGATGGTGGTCTCAGGGTAGTCATTCACTAAATGAAGGCTGAATTCCCCTAGTGTGAGCATCCCAAGAGAACTAGATGGAAACTGCATCATCTTTCCATATCTATCCTTGGAAGTCACTCATCATCACTGCCCCTGCATCCTATTGGTTACAAAAGAGTCACTAATACCTAAGGGGTGAGCAGATAGACTCCTCTCTCTCAATGGGAAGAGTGTCAATGATATTGCAGGCACATATTTAAACTATCTCTTGTCATTAGAAAATTTATAGAAGAGAGAAATAAAAGAGGTATGTTTTGGAAAATGAGTTAGACCATATATTTACAAACTATTTTAGGAATATTTTTCTATTATTAATTATATTCTATACCAACATCATTATTTTGGTGTTTTGGTGATAGTTGGGGGCGGTTCCCAGTTTTTATAGAGATCCATCTGACTCTTTCTGAAAATTCTTTATGTTCTGTTATTTGAGGGATAACCTTTCCCTTAACACCTCTTTTTTCCACTTAATAGGATGCACAATACATTCCTGAAGACTTACATTTCATTAATTTATTTGAACTTTGATGGCTTTCCATCCTCAAGAATTCTCTAATCGATAGGCAAATATTCCTAACCTTTTAACAGTTTAATAACCTTATGATTTTATACTATTATTAGCATGTATCCCTTTCTGAGGCCAATTATCCCAGTGGATGATTAGACGTTATCTCAGGCAGCCCAGGTGGGGATTTTCCCAGCCTGTTTTGTGGCAGTCCCCCAGGTACCTCACAATCACATCTTCTCTGCCTGGCACTCCTATAAGCTGACTTCCAGGTGCAGCTTACTCTTCCAGAGAAGGATTAGCTTATTTGCATCCATATGTGCTTTGTCATGTAGAAGGATTGGCAGGGAAAATTGCTGGTGATACAATTTTCTGTCCCCAGGTGAAGCCAAACCTCTCACTGTGAAGTCCAGTGGGCACATTTTGAGTAGGCTGCCTGCCAAAGAGCTGTGCTGTTGCACCATTCCCAGAACAACAACAACAACAAAAATGTATTTTCTGTAAGAGCCTCAAATTTTCCAGAATTGAGTTAAGGAAGTTGAAGGAAGTCATGGTCCTTGGAAGAAATATGTCAGTATGTGTATTTCACAGAGGACCCAGGAGAATACAGCTAGCATGTCTCCTAATGACATGAGATCTGGGCAGTAATATTTCTGTGGTTAAATTCTGTTTTAAATTCTTTAGTCAGCCCGATTGCTAGAGCTTTCCTGACTGATCTTAAGGGGCTCTTCAGAGCCCCTTGCCCTGGGATAAATCGAAGTAGCTTCTCATGGCAACCTAGAAGCCACATGTCTACTACCATGAACTGGCTGGGAAATTTTCCACAATGTCTGGCAAGGAGAGAAAGATTTAAAGATGCTGATGCTGTCACGAAACAATGTATAGGGTTGGTTACCTTATATTGCTTGCCAAAAATGATCATAATAACCACTCTCCAATATTACTTACTAACCATGGTGAAAAATCAGTTATTGTGTGGGTACTATGAACACTACTTGGGGGATGAGCACACTTATAACTTTGACTCAAACTGTACAAAAGCACTTTACGTAACCAAAACATTTATATCACCATAATATTGTGAAATATTTTTAAAAATCAGTTATTGTGGCAGGAATGGTTTGGACATTAAGACAGTATCTGATTTGATTTCAAATCCTTCTCCTTTGTGGCTGTAAAATCTAGGACAAGTCATGTTACCTCTCTAAACCTTGGTGTCCTCAACTATAAATTGGAGATGGTATTAAATTATTTATATGGTCATTGTGAACACGATGTGGTCTATGTGAAGTACAGTGCTCCATGGTCAAATGAATGCTGGTCACTCAACCAATTATATTATCGCATGACTCCGGATTACATCAGAGGATGAAGTATGATTGGAAATGACCATTATTACCTGACTCAGTAGAAATATTAATTTTAAATTATTACTCTGGTTGTTTGAGTTAAATAAAATTTACCATTTCATGTGTTAAACATCAAAGCAGCCAATCTGAGAACAACTTTTATTCCTTATTGGATTAGTCAAAATTTAGTTAGGAGACTGGAAATCACTCTAGGTATTCCAAGCTGGACAGGAATTAATACAGAGAATTAGAGGCTTTCAAAATTAATGAAAGGACCAAGTTCGAAGATTTTTAAGGCATTTCTTCCAGTAAATCCATTCGCCTGCCTCCCTGAAGTTGGTGATATGTGAGAGGACATTCTGAAAGTCTTGGCAAATTGTCACATCTGCTATTTGCTGAAACCCTCACTCTGCCCACCACTGCCGCATGAGAATTATTGACTCTGTTTCTTTTCCACTTCCAGATCTCTGTGGAATGCCCCTCACTTTGGTTCAAAGAACAAAAAATATCGATAAGCATTCTTTGGAAAATTTTGGTATGTGAATTTGTATGTGTTTAAAAATAACTGCAGATTTTTTTATAATTTCCTAACATTTAGGGAGTATAAATGTATTTTGTTACATGGATGAACTGGATCATGCTGAAGTCAGGGCTTTCAGTGTACCCATCACCAGAATAGTGTACATTGTACCCAATAAGTAGATTTTTTTTTTTTTTGAGACTGAGTCTTGCTCACCCGAGCTACAGTGCCACGCATCAGCCTAGCTCACAAACACCTAAAACCCCTGCGCTCAAGCAATTCTCCTGCCTCAGCCTCCTGAGTAGCTGGGACCACAAGCATGCACCATAGCACCTAGCAAATTTTTCTATTTTTAGTAGAGATGGGGTCTCACTCTTGCCCAGGTGGTCTTGAATTCCTGAGCTCAAGCAATCCTCCCGCCTCCGCCTCCCAGAGTGATAGGATTATAGGCATGAACCACTGTGCCCAGGCCCCCAATGGGTAGATTTTTATCCTTCACTCCCTTCCCACCCTCCCTCCTTCTTAGTTTTCGATGTCCATTACATTGCTTTATGGCGATAAACTTTGCAGGCTTGAACATGCTGTATTACAGATATTTTTGCTAAAAAAGTACAGTCCTTTACACCATGAGGTTCTGCTTTTAGAAGAATTCAATAGAGAAACAAAGACTGAATTTTTTTAAATCTTGGTGGACACATTGATTTTTGATTACACACTCTTCAAATTACAGCTTTGCAGTTGACAGTGAGCTGCTACCCAAAGCTTTGCTCTGGGTGGGGTGGCTGAGGAAGCAGTGTTCTCGCAAAGCACAGTGTTCTGCCGGCCTCTTCTGAGGGATGGATCCGCTAGGTCTGTAGCTTCTGGGCTGTACTTTTACTGGAAAATTGTTAGATATTCAGCTTTGAGGTAACAACTCAAATCCAGCAGGCACATGAGAACAATGTGCTGCCATTTAATTTATAAGACAGTGAGAACAATCCATTAAAAAAAAAAAATCTACCATTTTAGGTCATTTTCCACTCAGGAAGCACTCTCTGTATACAGGAAACCAGGGAGGCCAGGCACAGAATCAATAGATATTCTCTTTTCAACTTTGATGAATAAGATTTTCTTATGTAACTTGCGCTACGCTTTGGGGTTAGAAAGATGAATTCTTTTTAAGGATAGAAACTTTATGTGGAAAATACCCATGTTAGACAAAGCCCCCTCTTGTGTAGGCAGTCCAGAGTGTTTAGTGAGGCAACTCACTGTGCTCCTCCTTGTGTCTGCTGACTTAAACAAGTTTATTCCATTAGGTTCACCTTCATCCTCAAAGGAGACTGTCCCTCTCTCCATTTCCTTATTTTCTTTCTGTAAGTTCATATCCATAATGAATTAACTATATGCTTGGATTGCCCTTGAAGTGCCAAAAAAAAAAAAAAAACCTTAAGGAAACAGGCATTGGGAAACTATAGTCTGGTATAATTTGGCTGCAGTGATTGTAAATGAAGTTTTGAACCATTGAAAAGATGCGGAACCTTTCAGATATTTGCCTTTGTTTTAAGATGTCTGGACCAGTCTTTAAAGCCCTATTAATCAGCACTTCTTTCCATCCCAAACCTGACTGCTGACCCTGAGCTGGCAGTGGAAGTTAAGTCCTTATGTGAAAGTGATTTACTATTACTTCTGCATGGATAAAGGCACAGAATCATGGATAAAGACAAAGAAATGGAAATCTGAAGGCTCTCACAAAGCAGAAGTTAAACTTGTTAAAATTATTTGTGGTAGATAATGTTGTATGTGTATCTATTTCCTGTCCTATATAAACAGAGGTAACTGGAGCTCTCTAAGGGGGGGATAGATGTTATTTATTAAATATATATATATATCCTTTATATATTATCTATATAAAATTATCCATAGATTCATATTAGTAAAGAAAATAAATTTGAAACAATACTATTACTCTTACACTTTTACTTTGATTTGAGATTTTGGGGGACATCGACCATATTTTTAATGTGACACGTTCAGATTTGGGGCTCATGAGACCTCATGTGATTATAATCACATTTATCAAGAGGTGTCCACAGCTTTCAGCATTCATGAAAGAAAAGAACCAAAGCATCAGCTAATGGGGCAGCCGTGATACACGCAAGGTGTTTGAACACATGCTAGCAACAGTGACGTGGGGTAAAAAAAATATGGAAAATGAAAAGGCAGCCTTTACTCTCTCCCTACTTTTGCTTACAAAGCATTGCGTTTTCATCTTCATTCAACTTTCCTAAACTTGCGTACATGTTTACTTTTCCTACTATATTTTAATATCCTGGAGGGCAGACTTAATCTGTCTTTTTTCCCTCCAAGCATTTAGCAGTGCTCCTTGTACACATTCAGCCAATAACTCAGGAGCAGAAGGTAACTTTATTATTTGCCATACTTAAGCTAAATGATGTTTATGCTTTGTAAACCATCATTGTAAGAGCAAAAAATCCAGGGACTTACGGTAGTATGAAATTCTCAGAAACTCTATGTAGTAGTGGATTGAATCGTGGCCCTGCAAAATGTTTCATATCCTAATTCCCAGAGCCTTGTAACTAAGAAGGGAATATTTGTGAAAGGGTCCTTAAGTGAAGGATCATTAAGGAGATTATCTGGTGGGCCCTAAATCAGAATATGTTTCCTTATAAGAGATGAACAAGGCAGATGTGACAGAGAGAAGAGGAGGTGACAACATGACCATGGAGACAGAGATTGGAGCAATGCAGCCATAAGGCAAAGTCCACCAAGGATTGTCAGCAACAGCAGCAACTAAAAGAGAATATGGACTCTCTCCAGAGTCCAGGGGGACTCTGGAGAGAGTGAGTGCAGCCCTGCTGATACCTTGATTCTGGATGTCTGGGCTTTAGAACTGTACGAGAACAAACTTCTCTTAAGTCATCAAGTCTGTGGTATTTGTTATGGCAGTCCTAGGAAACTAATCCATCTTAGTTCTGGAGAAGTCCCCCTAGAGACCACCTACCCTGTATCTGGAGAATCTAGGGGGTGAATCAGAGCTGTGGGCTTCCTGGAGTTTCTTTCTCAAATGCTTCTTCACCAACACCATGCTAGAGGATCATTCCTCAGCACAGATTCTAGGGGGACAGGGAAATGTAGCCTCACTGGAACCAGGACTTTAGCTGCTGCACTGTCCAGAGAACAGTTCAGCCTGGGAGTTGAAGGTCAGGGAGGGAGTTATTGTCTCTCACAGTTTCCCGCCTTTTGAACTATCTGCTAGAACCCTGCATGAATTGTCTTTTGGGATTTTATCCCTGTAGTGAGACAAGGTATTCTTACACAACAGAGACTGTTGCAAGATAACATCTGCACAAATTTATGACAGTGCAATGGAGGAGGAAATTATAGTGATGGGAAATATTTGTATGTAGACAGATGCTTTTTGGAAGGAAGTAAGCCTTGAGCTGGACTATGAAAAAAAAAAATAGAGGATATGAATAAGTGGCAAGGGGAAAGGAATATATTTTAAGTGACAGCAGAGGGAGGAATAGGCAGGAGGGATGGAAACTAGTATTGCTTAAAGGGAAGATCAAGAGAACCATGCTGAATACCAATTAGGGTGTTCAGCTGCCATGAGAGGAATTTGGATTTATTATTCTAGTGATCCATATTGTGGTTTGGTGAGCGATGTAATGAGGCCACAATCCTTTAAGGAGTTATCACCCATGGGGTGGATGATGTTGTGGATCCCCTATCACATCTGAGTCCCCTACCTCAGCAAATCTTTCCTGACTTCTTTAGACAAGGATGAGGGTGCCTCATCCTCACGCACCTGTACATTAAGTCCATCTCTGCTTTGGTGTTTCTCTCTATGCAATTTGGAGCCTCCAAGATGCAAAAGACCCCCAAAAGGAATGTGTTTCAAGCACTTAGCACAGGACAGGACCTGCTTTCCAGTGGGCACTCCATCACCACTCAGCTGAACTTCAGAAGGACTCCTATAGATGATCAAAGACCTACACTCCAGCCCTACTAGCTATTGTCTCTTCATAGCCAAGAGCTGTGTACAAAAGGGTATTTTAATAATTTCCACACTTGGGCAAACTGTGACTGTGGTGTCCAGCTCACATGGCTCTCCTCAGGAGAATCATATCTTCTTTGAGTTTGTGTAAGGTTCAGAGGAAACTTGTGGATTAAAAGCAAGGAACTCATCTTTGGTGAGGACTTGTTTATATTTTCTAACTTGGAAATTGCTGAGCATGTGTTTTTGTCTACTTTCTTTTAGTTGTGTAATAGACGAAGGTGAGAGAAAGAAGGAATCTTCCTTGGACCAAAGATTTACAAGAGGACTGGGTAGGAAACATTCTCATTGCTATGGTCTCTGGGCAACATGACAGGGAGGTCCTTCTTACAGGGCAATGTGTGGGAATGGAGTGAGGAGGGAAAGAGGACATAACCTAACAGTCACTCCCTGTGCAATCTTTGCAGTGGATGTAGATGAATGGAAAAGGCATTTGTTATGATGGACACAAAATAACATAATTCCTGCCTTTAAGATAGTGGATGAGAGGCAGGAAATGCATTTAAGTATCTATGATTTCAGTTGTATTTCCTTGCTTTTATGTACCTTAGCAGTTTGCAGGTCCCATCTCCACAGCCTAGGGTGCTAGCTTTATTTTTTCCTCTCTTACCATGGTTACCTCTTCATTCTCATTTATAATTCAGATGCATTGCCTAACAACAGGTTCCCACATATCTGGACATATTCAATCCTTTAAAAAAAAAAAATAGAGAATCGTTGAAAGCTGAGAAAATTTGATGCCAGCAATTCCACATTTCACCCACGTCACTGCCCATGCTGGGTGTTGGTATCTGAGCCTCTATGCCTTCCTAGTTGGAAACTTTAGGGCATACATTAATAAATATTTATTTCAGAAAGGCTTAACCCATCCCTATACAGAATCATTCAAAGAGCAATCTGTCTGAAGACATGAGAATTGTGTCTTATTCTGAAAAGTCTTGTCCTCTTAATAATCCTGTATCCTCTCCTCATGGGAGGCAATCCAGGATTGATTCTCAATGTGACAGAAATGGCTGTACACCTTTCTACCCACTGTCTTTCTCTTGTCCTGGAACTGGAAATAGAAGACCATTGGTTTGGAGTATTTATTTGCCTTTTAAAGGATAAGCAGGTTTTATTTATATACCTCTTAGAGTCACACATGCAAAGTGCTTTAGCAAAATAGAAATATCTGCACAATATTGTTAGTTAAGGGGGATTAGTTAGGGTTCTCCAGAAAAACAGGATGGATAGGATATATAGAGAGATATAGAAAAAGATTTATTATGAAGAAATTGGCTCACATGATTATGGTGACTAAGAAGTCCTACAATCTGCAAGCTGGAGGCCCTGGAACCAAAGGTGTCATTCCAGTCCAAGCTCTAAGGCCTGAGAACCAGGAGTACTGATGTCTGAAGGCAGGAGGAGATGGCTATCTCAATGCAAGAAGAGAGAGCAAATATGCCCTTCCTCTGCCTTTTTGTTCTATTCAGGCCCTCAATAGGTTGGTGTCCACCTATATTGGTGAGGGTGATCTTTATTCAGTCTACAGATTCAAATGCTACTTTATTCCACAAGCATCCCCACAGACTCACCCAGAAATAATGTTTTCCCTGTTACCTGGACATCCTAGAAACCAGTCAAATTGACACATAAAACTAACCATCACATAAGAAATATTTTGAATCTCATAAAATGCTTTTATTCATTGCAAAAGCCTATTAGAAATGTGTATACATGAGTATCCAGGAAGTGATGGTGTAACAAGATATTATGTTTGTTAAACTCTGCTGGAGTATAGTCATAGATACATCAACATTTACACCTCCCTATGTTTGCTATTTATATAAGACATATGGTATAATTATCTACTAAAATATACTTTCATTTGTGTTGAAAATCAAATATTTTCTTTTCTATTCCCATCAGTAAACTTTCTTATAAGCTTTTTAAAAGTAGAAATGAAAATAAATCCCTATATATCCACAAGAACATCCAAAATAAAAAACACTGACAATATTTGGCATTAGTGAGGATATAGAGAAACTATACTATAGTTTGAATGTTTCTGTCCCCTCCAAAGTTCACGTGTTGATAGTATTAACTGATGAAGCCTTTGAGAGATTCTTAGGTCATGAGGGTTCCTACACTGCGAATGGGATTAGGAGCCTTTACAAAAGAATTTGATGGAGGGAGTTCATTTCTTTTGTGCCCTGCCCCCATTCACCTTCTGCCATGTGAGGACACAGCGTTCCTCCCCTCTGGAGGACACAGCATTCAAGGCATCATCTTGGAAGCAGTGAACAGCCCTCACCATACACTGAACCTAATGGTGCCTTAATCTTGAATTTTCCAACCTCCAGAACTGTGAGAAAATAAATTTCTGTTCTTGATAAATGACCCAGTCTCAGGGATTCTGTCATAGCAGCACAAAACAGACCAAGGCAAACTAGAACTCTCATAAACTATGGATGGGAGTATAAATTAATTAAACCATTTTTGAAAATTGTATGGCAGTTATCTACTAAGCTAAACATATGCATAACCTTTAGCCTAACAATGTTATTGTTAGGTATTTAACCAATTGAAATGTCTACGCACGTTCACCAAAAGACACCTATTAGATGCTTATAGCAGCAATATTTATAATATCCCCAAACAAAAAACCACCCAGATATCTATCAATAATTGAATAAATGAGTAAATAAATATTCATAAAGTAGAATAGCCTACAACCATAAAAATGAATAAACTATTGTAGGCAACAGCAAAAATAAATCTACCAAATACAGCATTGAATAAAAGAAGCCAGGTAAAAATATACATTAAATAAAATTTTAAAAATCAGACAAACTACAATTTTGGAAGTCAGAAAAGCGCTTAACTTGACAGAAACTAGGAGAAGGCAGCTAGTGACCAGGAGAAGGAGGTGCTGGTAATGTTCTAGATATCTTGATCTGAGTCATGGTTAAATAGAGGTGTGGGGGTGTTCACTTGTGAAAATACATCAGCCAATATATTTTTTGGTTTTTTTTTTTACTTTTTAACTTTTTTCTTGCTTTATTTTTTGGTCAGTCTACACATTTTGTTGACTTTGTATATTATTATGCTTCAGCAGACCATTTTTCTTAATAAAAGTGAATATGAGCCTAATGCTATGCCCATCCTCCCAGTGTTACGGACCTCAAAATAATAGATAAAATAACTTACATTTCCTATACTTAGATTAAGTTATTTTTAGTAATTTGATGAGAAAAAATATTTAAAAGAAATTAGAGGGAAAAATTAATTAAATTATGTTTTAATCAGAGTAATTGCTTAAAAATATTCCCAGATCAGGAGCAAGATCTTTTCATGCTAAGATGAAAAGTGTTAATGTCTACAAAACAAATTGTGAAGTGTTTAAGAATAAGTTAGAACAACAGTCTGACAATCTTTCCAACTTGTGTTATTCTGTACCAGGAACTTCTTGAGGCAGGACTGAAAAATAAAGAGGGACACTGTAAAAAAAAAAAACAGTTTGACAAGTTTTGGAGAAATGAATAACGTGCTTTCACAAAAGATAAAAAAATGAATAATTCAGAGTAATCTTGTTAAGCCAATAGACAATGCATACCTAGTTTGTAATGACAACTTGATTTATATTGCATATAATGCTTACCAATGAAATAAATATTTGCTATAGAAAATAAAGTGCATCAAATCGAAATGAATGAGATATCAACTTTGTTTTAAATTAATCCTAAGAATTGGAGGAAAGGATAATTAGCAATTAGACTTGAAGATATGGAAGAGAGATGAAAAAATCAAAATAAGCAAGCAATAAAATAAATGACAGAACATTTCCTAAAATAATAACTTGCATGTATTGCTTTTGGGAGAGACAAAACGAAGCAAAACAAAACCCTAAACACCTTTATATAATATTCAAATTTTAAGACATTAAAATTTGAGTGCAAGTTTATAAACATTTATTAAATGTGGCTTCATAAATGTTATTTAAAACCAAGTGATTGCTGAAAGAATTATGCAAAAATTTTTTTAAAAGAACCCTCAAAAATCTCTTTAGACCTCTCAGAAATACAGTAGTCCTCCCTTATCTTGAGACACGTTCCAAGGCCCCTAGTGGATGCCTGAAACCTTGGATAGTACTGAACCCTGCACATACTTTGTTTTTCCTATACATACATACCTATGATAAAGTTTAATTTATAAATTAGGCACAGTAAGAGATTAATAATAATAAAATAAAACAATTATATTAATAATATATTGTAATAAAAGTTATATGAATGTGGTCTATCTCTTTCTTGCTCTCATATCTTACTGTACTGTACTCACTCTTTTGCTCATCATCTGTTGATTTGATAACGTGATAACCCAGCCAGCTACTAAGTGACTAACAGGTGGGTAGCAGCATATGCAGCATGAAGGCCCTGAACAAAGAGCAGGACAGAGCAGGATGGCACAATATTTCATCAAACTACTCACAACAGTGCCCAACTAAAAACTTATGAATTATTTCTTTCTGGAATTGTCCATTTACTATTTTCAGACCACAGTTGATTGTAAGTAACTGAAACTACAGAAAGCTAAACTGTGGATAAGGGGGCACTACTATAACCCCAAAGTCTGATCTTATTTTTCTTTTCCAAACCACAGCAGATATCCTTAAAACTCTGCTAACATTATGAAAACAACAAAATGATCCAGGCATAGCCTGTTTCTTTCTACTCCAAGATTTAGAGCCAGCTACTTTTTGAAGGAGCACTGACTTCTTTCACTAAGAATAATAAAAGGGTCTATGACCATGAGAGTGTCTCATTTGAAAAGTGTTTGGAATGAAGGTGACAACAGGTATCTTGACCTTTTTAAAGTCATGGGATCACATCTTGTGTTCTCACTTTAATTCCAACTACACTAACTCTTTCTTCCTGGTATTATCAGTTTAAACATCCAATTCTCCTCTGTTTCAGTGACCCTTCCTTTTCTAATCCCATCCTAAAAACAATGATGTATTGAGCCATATGTTGTCATACAAAACATGCATTTAAAACATGTTGGCCAGAGTGTTAGGAACTATAATTTCTGATTTTTATATATATAATTGCCATATGTTTTCCTTTTTGTCCTTCAACTCAAGAGGGATGATTTTTGCACCGCATTTGAATGGTTTTCCTTGTCTGCATTCCTCGAATATACCACCAAAATGTTAAAAATACATTTTATTCTTATCTCAAGGGAAACACTGAGAATTTAAGGGTATACATCACTATTACAATGTTGTAAATAGAGTCTGCATATACTTAGTGTCATGATGAAAGGAAAAATAAAGCTAAATTTGAATATCCTAATAAAATCAGTAAGGACATTTATTTTATTAAAATACGATGTTATATTAAGAAATACATACATAGAAAATGAATACTACCAAAATCTCTGTACTTATTGATGCACATTAAAAATATTTGGTACGATTGCTTTGCTTTGTAGAAACAAAAACCAAACAGTAGAATTAGACATGGTTCAGTCTACATCATGGAGATGCAGACATGAAAAAGAGGCAGAAAATGTGTGTCATTGGCAGGCTTGGGACCCAAAAAGGAGGAAGAAGATGGGGTGAAGTTTAGAATTGAGACTCCATATGGCTGGAGTCATATGGGGAAGGCCTTGACTCCTAGAGAAAGAGAATGTGTTCAGTTAGAGAAACTTCAGATGTCTCACACTCAATGCCAGCCTGCTGTTTTTTCCACAGGGAAAGTTTTAACCACATATAACTACACCAGGATATATTAAAGTGCATTATCTCAGCCAGTTCCTACGGGAGGCCAGCACTGCTGCATGGGTGGTAAAGATGAGCCCTGGGGAGGATGAAGCTCACTCTTCAAGAAGCTTTCCTGTGTCAGCGTGAGCTGCTACGTGTTGTGGCAGGCACCTGCACAAATTTCCCTGCCCCTCACCTACTACCCTCAACCACCAGGACCACCTCAAATGGTTGACATAAATTGGACAGGGTTGAACAATAGTCAAAAGGATATTGCTAAAAAAAAATTAAAAACAAGTAGAAATCCTCATTCCAGAAATAGATACTTGAAATATACATATGCTTTATATTTATATTTCACATTATTTATATTTATATTATATATGAATATTTATAAAGTATATCAATATTTATATACTTTTTTTCTGCCTTCTCTGATGAGTAATTAAAGATATTAAATTTGTAGGTATTAGAGAACCATATCATATGAGACAGTCTTTTGTGCCCTAAGAAAAAAATACTGCCCAATCAGAAAGCAACGAATTCAAAATACCACCAGCCCTGCAATGAGAGTTAACTGCATGTATGAATCCAAACCCAAGTTTCAAAGTCCCTAGACTGTCTTCATCAAGAATCAGACCTTTGAGAACCTGGCATGATAATTCACCCTTTGCTGATCTAATTATCTCACTGTCTTCTAGAAGATCAAAAGGCCCCAACTGCAAGCCAACTGAGTTCTCTAGGGCTGTTCTCAACCAATCTTTTCACTGCAGATCTCTGACAATTTGATTCTTCCTAGAAGCAGAAGCCAAGCCAGGATTAGACATGCAGGATATTTACTGGGGATGAGGGAAAAGGTTCGGAGAGCCTCAGCCTGTGATGCAGGATGACAGCCGTGAAAGAAAAGAGGGAAGTAAGGATTGGGTAGGAAGAATCTTATTCCACAATACAGTTTTGCAAAAACTTCAACCACATCAATGGAGTGTTCTTGATCAAAAGTTGCTTGTTAATGTACTCACCAGCAAATCGGTATTAATGGACAACACCTAAGTGGACATATAGGAGTAACATTTATCAGGTGTCAGGAGGGTGGAATTGGGGAGGAGGGGATGGGTATAACCACAACAAGTAAGATGTGCAACGTTTGGGCGACGGACACGCTTGAAGCTCTTACTTGAAGGAGGAGTGGGGCATGGGCAATATATATAACCTTAACACTTGTACCCCCATAATACACTAAAATAAAAAATAAAAAGTTGCTTGTTAACGAACTCCTGTGTTAGGCAAAAATGAGCCAATACTAGGAGTCCTCACCATGCTCAGCCCAGGAGAAGCATGGTCTCAGCATGAAGGCAGTGGAGGAACCCAAGTGGTGGCAGCCGGTACTCTCAGTCAACTATGCTCTCAGCAATGGGTTTTCCTGATGGAGATCTTAGCAGTGCACTTTCACAGTTCCCCCATCATCACAGACGTATGCCAAAGTGCATGGGGATTGTGGATCAAATCATATTGTATGCTGAGACATTGCAAACATTACAAGATGTTCAGAAAAATTTTGTAACATATATTAACTGAGCCTCTGCTTTCTGAAACAGACTATGCAAAAGATAACTTAACATTTGCTAGATTATTCAGTGTCTTTGTTTATAAGATTAATTACTAGACCCATAGGTAACACAGTAATGTCCTCAGGGACAACTAATGTGTGTTAGCTTTTCTGCTAAATGGCGTAAGTCTATTAACTCTGCTGGTAACATTTTTGTCATTTGTAGTTTCATACTCTCTCCTAACTATCAGATGACCATCTGTCACTGCTTTTCCACTGTTAAGTGTTGCTACCTCTACAAGTCCCATCTGTTTAGGGTTAATTTTTTTCTTGTGGAAAATTATAATTGAACCAAAGGCAGGGAAAAACAACAGTATGAATGAATGGATTTCCACATAACCACTGAACAGCTTCTGCAATCTTGTTTCATTTATACTCTACCCACACACCCCCTTCCACTAAAATATTTAGGAGCAAATCTTCAGACACCATATTAGCTGATCTTAAATATTTTATAGTATGTATTTTTATAAGATAACATCATTGGCCAGGCAGGGTGGTTCACACCTGTAATCCTAGCACTCTGGGAGGCCGAGGCAGGAGGATTGAGGATTGTTTGAGTTGGAGACCAGCCTGACCAAGAGCAAGACCCTGACTCTGCTAAAAAAAAAAAATAGAAAGAAATTAGCTGGAAAACTAAAAAATATGTATAAAAAAATTAGCCAGGCGTGGTGGCGCATGCCTGTAGTCCCAGCTATTCGGGAGGCTGAGACAGGAGGATCACCTTAGCCCAGGAGATTGAGGTTGCTGTGAGTTAGGCTGATGCCACGGCACTCTAGCCCAGGCAATAGAGTAAGACTCCTTCTCAAAAAAAACAAAACAAAACAAACATATAAATAAATATAAATATATAGAGATATAGATATAAAACATCATTATTTAAAAAGAACTGAAATATCACTGTCTTAGTCTGTTTAATGCTGCTATGACAGAAAACTTGAGACTGGGTAATTTATAATGGATAGAAATTTATTGGCTGCATGGTTCTGGAGGCTGAGAAGTTCAAGACCAAGGGGCCAGCATCTGACAAGAGCCTTCTTGTTGCATCATCCCATGGCAGAAGGTGAAAAGGCAAGAATAAGAGCAAGAAAGACACAGCAAGAGATGGCCAAACTCACTTTTAACAAACCCACTCTCACAATAATGAATGTACTAATGTACTCCCCAATAATGACCTAATCACCTCTTAAAAGTCCCACCTCTCAACACTGTTGCATTTGGAATTAAGTTCCTAACACATGAACTTTGGGTGGCACATTCGAACCACAGCAATCATTATCAAAACATTTTTACAAAATTGTTTATCATCAATATTTATATTTCTCAAAATTTTACATTTGCTTTTTCAACAAGGAGCCAAATCTGATTCATATATTGCAATTGATTGGCATGTCTCTTAGGTCTCCTTTTAATCCATGTTCCCCCCCCCCAAGCTTTTTCTGTCTTATTCTCTTGCTGACAACTTATTTGTTGAATATATCAGGTCATTTGTCCTATAAAGTTTCCACCTCATGGATTTTGCTGATTGTATCTCTGTGAAGTCATTTTAATATACTATCCATCCCTATGTATTTCTTGTAAAATGGTTGTTAGATCTACATCTTTAAAGAGATTCTCTAGTAAATTCCTCATGAATAGTTCATGGAGAAAATGTTCCTAGGATTCCCAAAAGTTCATAAATTTGACTGTACATTTTATACTTGAATGCCAGTTTGGTTGACAATTTTTTCCTTAAGTTTCTTAATTATGTTACTCCATTGTTTTCTGTCACAAACTTTTGCTGTCAAAAAGTCTAATGTCAAATTTATTATCTTTCCTTAATACATGACTTAGTGTTATTGCCTCGATGACCAAAGAGTAATTTTCTTTATCATTAAAGTCTAATAATGGTTTTACTAGAATGTATCTCAGCATTGACCATTCTGGTCAGTATTCCCATGTCTATGATGTGTCCTTTCAATATGTAGGTGCACCCATCATTTTATTTCAAAAAAATTCTTTAAATTACATTTTCCATTATTTGTTCTATTGCACTGCATTTATTTTCTCACGAATTTTGGGATTATTAAAACTTTTCTGCCTATTTTCCATATTGAGTATTTCTCAAGATGATGCTTAAACTGGTTCTTAGTACGTAGGTAAACCAACGAAGAGGGGAAAAGATAAGAAAGGGAAGAGCATTATAGGAAGATATAACTACATATATAAGAATATAGTAGCTTAATCTGCGAAACTACAGCTGTTGAATGAGGTTCTCTATGTGGTAAGGATAAAAGATGGAGAAGAGAAGTCAAACTGGAGAGAGTGACAAGATCCTGTTCATAAAATATGTTTTAAGTTTTCATTTAAAGCTGACCGAGATTTTAAAATGTGGAGAAATATATTATAAACATCACATTGGTGTGAGTGAAGAGAATGACTTGTAATAAAGGAAATAATAAAAAGATAGGCAATTAAAGAAGTAAGTACCTGTCTTTTTGTGCCTGGAAATCATAAGTGACTGATATGAGCTTTATCATTTAGTCCTCTCAGGACATGTGTTTAGCAGTTTTTACTGTTCCCATTTTCCAGATTAAGCACACACCCTGAGACACAGAACCTTTAAGCAAATTATCCATGTCACATCAAAAAAGTGACAGCTTGGGATCAGAAGCCAATACCAACTGACTTTAAATCTCATACTTGTTTCATTAACAATAGTTAATACTGGAGTTAGCAAGACAAAAAGTGAGAATAATATAAAGATTAGTGGATGAAGTTAAATGGTCTCTAGAAATAGTGCAGGAATGAACTAAACTATACAGGACTGAGTGAGGGGGAGAAGAAGGCAAGCAGAATGATTCCCAGGTTTCAGGTGAACAGCCCGAGTCAAAATTGTCTTGTATTAGATTGTCAAGAAAATAGGAGGTAAAAATGAAGACAAAAAACAAAAAACTGTTCTCAGAGAAGCTTGACAGTGAAAAAGAAGGCAAAGATGGTGGGGAGCTACAGCGTGGATGGAGGAAGTTTTGTTGTAGATAGGCAAGAACCACCATTGTACACCAAATGCCTACAGAGAGAGATTGGAATTGGGAACTCACAATGCTGGGCCAGGGTGTAAAACTCTTAGAGAAGTGGTAATAGATGATGGAGAAGTGAGAAAACAGGATCTAGAACACAAGCAAAGGAATTAGCATCAGACACAAGCAGAAAATGTTTCTTCTACAAGACAGGAAATAAGAAAATATATGGGCCCCCCTAAAATGCACTGACCATTATAGTAAATACTTTCACACACACACACACTACTCCGTGAAACCTTACAGGAGAATGTCTCTATCTATACTTTGTGGATCACATGGCTAGTTATTACCAAAGTCAGGCTTCAAACCCACGTCTGTTCTGAATATTACTAGTGTTAGCTTTTGGGAAGGAACCGTGATCCTGAGTCCAAGTTCCAAAATTCTCATTCATTCTTACCTTACACAATGGACTCACATCTATAATACCCCAATTTTTCATCTGAAAAACAAATTATCAAGAATTGGGGTTTCTTTCTATTCCAACAAACTTATATGAACAGAGACCATGTTTTGCTCATGAAAATTATTTTCTAATCATGTTCGTTCATAAGCTACAATTTGCACCTTACCACTATCATTACCACCACTAAATCTT